CAGATCTTCTCATTCAGTGGCAGGAGTAATTTTCACTTTATCCCTCGACTTGAAATAAATAAATACTATGTATACGTGCAAGACACATTTCCCTGTATTTATGAACCAATGAAAGGTTGCCTCAATAATATTGGGTTACGTCTATTAAAAAACACTACAGTAAGAATCTCATTCCCTGCACCCCGAAAAAACAAGTGTATTCGGAAAGTTAGCGAGCACTGCAATAATGCGTACATCGTGAAGCTATACAAGAAGTTTAATATCATAATTAAAAATTGCTTTTCCGAATTCCGCCTTAGGCAGGCTGATAGCTGCAGTACCACCTAGCAGACCAATTTTAACGGACATTCTTCATTATTATCGGAGATCACTAAAAATTTGATCTTATCATAAAGGAATATTTTCATATAATGCAGGAACAACGCACGTAAATACTCCTGACGCGACACGAAAGCTGTTGAGGAAGGTATCACAAACTTCCGGGCAGACTTCATGAGCGACGTAATTATGTTATTCACGTTGCAGACTGTTACAACTTTCATATTCTACTTTCGTCTTCATAAGCTAGCTTGCTTCAAGGCCTTATCAGTTATGTCCTTACTACTACTGTAGTAGGGAAACGGGTCGAAAATAAAGCTTAACTACTTTTGTTTAGGCGAATTTTGTGAAATCAATCAAGAAACAAATACAGTTCCAACATCGAGCTCAGGATCAAAAGCTTCAAATCTAATGTAGAGTGGATTTTTTTAAAATTTTTAATGAACCACATTTCATTTTATGCGAACGATTATCATAATATCTTGCATGAGTCAACTTAAAACTGAATTTTTATTTCTATAGTACAGAAGAGAAATAGACATTTTATAACTATGACAATTTCTCTAATAACTTTGTCTTGAAAACTTCGCCTGATCAATGCCTTTAATGTACAAGTGAGCAAAATTAGAATCAAGGCGACATTTACAATTCGTGAGAAAGAGATTCAGTGCTACGTTAATTAGCTTTACCTTTAACGAACGATTGAGGTAGCGAACAGAACTCGTCCCGTCTTACGGTTACAACGAAGACTCTGAAACTCGGTTTTTTATCCTAATTAAAGGACTACATTCCCGTGTAGCTTGGTCCACCACCGCCTTCAGGGGTGACCCAGTTTATGTTCTGAGTAGGGTCCTTTATGTCACAGGTTTTACAATGGATGCAGTTTTGAGCGTTGATCAGAAAGCGTTTCGACAAACCGTCGTCCGTCGGTACGTACTCGTAAACCCCTAAAATGACGATGGAGACGAGACGAGAAATGTTAAAGAAAATGTACCTGCAGGGCAGTAGCGTTCCTCAGGACCGTCGAAGGTCGGGTAATTTACGTCGTAAGGTACTTCATCGTTGAGAAGCGTCAAGTGCGGCGGCTGATCCTCCTCGTGGTTGGTGTTCGTCAGCGACACCGAGGTGAGCAAATCAAATGTTATCACGCCGTCCGGCTTCAGGTACTGTATTTTAGTGCATTTGCCGGCCGGCTTCAACTTTGTGCAGTCGGCACCTTACCAAAGCAGCGCTGAATTGTGCAAACCACTACAATGCATCCTCTGGTACATACCACTGTAATTAATCGTCCACGGCTCTCTTCCCCTCAGCAACATGTATACCATGCCGGTATATGCCATGCCGCCCCACATGCCCAACGAACTTAGGAACGATGGGTGAATATTTCGGACACTTTTTAAATCCTTCCAGATATACGAACTCTTTACCTTCTCTTCATAGCTGTTCGGTTCAAGACCTGAAAATGTTACAGCTTTATTTGATCGTACACTAGAAATCCTAAAGCTGAACACGCCTCTATGTCGGCCACTGATATGGTTCCTAATAATAAACATTAGATATTGACGGAAAAACCTATACTATAATTCTTCGTCCAAATAACTGTTTTCTATGACTGTTACAAAACGAATTTAACAGAATAACAACAATCGATGGTCTGCCAGCATCTCGTTCGGTTAGCTGTCCAAGACAGATCTTGCTAAATCAAAATGCGAGTAAGGCTACTGCTACGCGAGGGCCTGTACGTGATGCCGGAGCTCGCTACCGTAGCTTGAGGTGGTGGTAATACTTGCCACCCGCCAGCTACATCCGTCAAAACCTTACAATCGTTGGGCTGGAAAAGATGGAAAAGACGATGATAATAATTCATCAAGGTTGCCCCTCCTCAAGAATGAACTTTCAAACAGTTACTCGCCAAAGGTCAAATGGACACCTCAAAAAATTAAACGTCAACTACACCGATCGGCCTGAACTGCTCTTACCACTCGGTAAATCATGGTACGCGATTGCAAACGGATTCGAAACGTCATCATCATCGTAGCCAAATATAAAGCAGGTAGGTTACCGATAAAGGTGCATTTACCGACGAACTATCTCAAGGAAATGGAGAAGACCAATGCAGATGTCACTGAAATATGCGAGATCCGATGAACTACCAAATTTGTTGCGCAACGGAAGAACGCTGATCAAACGTTCCTCGGGAGAGCATTCGAGCACTAAGTTCAGACGGCATGCACAGGGTTCGGTTCATAAAAAGCAACCCATATTATTTGTAATCAGATGTGACAGTATATAACTCGTAGAGCAACACTGCTTCTAGAGGTGAACAAAAAATGAATAATATAAATTGTTCAAGATTACAGCCGAACCCAGGCTGAAATAAAAAAATCCAGAAACTTGAAGGCACAAAGAAGAAAACGACATCCATGATTGTCCTGGGAAACTTCAACAGTGTGCTCGGATAAAGAACGAACGACAAAGTGGCAGTTATCCGCAAATATAGAAAATGTGAGAAAAGAGAATATGGAAATTGCTTCGCAACTTACGCTGAAAGCAACTACTTGCAAATAATGAACACTGTTTTGCAGAAAGCTCAGCAGCAACAGTAGGCATCGAGAAGCCCAGAGGGAAAGTCTCTGACCAAATCGACTATGTACTAACACAAAAGAAAATCAGAGGTATCGGTAACAGGCCAGAATACCACCTGTACAGGATCAGATCATAGGATTTTATGATCCCCAGTTACGATCGAGTGGGGTGATCTGAGGAATGGATCCAAAGAGTCCAAAGATCAACACTCTCTAGAGAACTACAATTCCGTTCAGAGGCTTCCCCAAGAAGCTGCCATTAACAAAGCTTGAAATGAACATCAAAGATGCGGATTATGACCATTCTATCAAATCCATTAGAATCTCAAGCCGGAGAGCAAAGTCAACCAGAAACTAACACATCAGTAATTCATTGAGGTGTCTAAAGGTTAAAATAACCGAACTGAAAACCGAATGAAATGAACAACGTGTAAACTGTGTTGCGCAAAGAGACGAAAAAGAAATAGACGGAGGAGTATAAAAACTACAGGAGAATTCGATTAAGAAAAGCTACGGGGAAGGGGAGAGGTAAAAGAACAGCCCGCATGCAGAGGAACAACACCTTCGCCTAAAATAACGGATTAGGAATGCTGCATTGAAGGACGAAGAAGAACTACTAATGACAAGATGCAGTTTTATAACAATTTGCATTGATTCAAAGTATGAGTGAATCGGAAGTTGCTACATGTTGCTCTGGAAGCTATTCCCAAGATCATCAGGGGCGAAGTTGAGGGGATAATCAGAAACATTAAAAGTGGCAAATGTCCAGGCCAAAACATCAAACAAGAACTACTTAAAACAGAAATAACAATCCTGTTTACAGCGCTTGCCATATATTTTATTTGCCATACGTTAGGCGAAACAAGGCGTGAAGAAAGGCGACTCTGAAGATCTCGAACTATCAACCAACTACACTCCTGTCACAAATCTGCAGTCTTGACCCGCATCATTCTTAACCGTATTCGAAAGGACCTCGAACTTATCACAAGTGAAGAACGGGTCAGTCTTGGAAGAGAAGTTTCTATCATCGATCATATACATGTCATTCAGCAATTAATGAGAAGTGGGAGGAATAACAATTCCGCACTTGTTTTGCTTACATCTACTTCATTTCGGCAGAACTGATGGCTGTGCTAAATGCCTTGCATGAACACATGGTTTAAACTCTGTCTGCGTTAAACAGATGAACACCGGTTATACGATTGACACTAAGCTTTTCATCGAACCGTGTGTGCTTTCCATCCAGGAGTGTGCTAAGGAGATACAGTCTCACCAGCGCTCTTCACCGCGGAATTGGGGTCACTATTCATCCGGTTAAACTGGTGCGACAGCATCAATACTGATGGAGAGCAACCAACGCACTGTTTTCGCTACTTGCGGACGCCTGAATCACCTTCGCACAAGACGCAGTGAAGTTCCAAAAGAAGATTCAGCAGTTACAAGGAGAATCTCTCACCAACCGTGTGGAGGTCAACCCCTCCATGAAGAAATTATGCAAAAAGAACATTGCTCTGAGGGTTCAATCTACGCGAATTGCGAAGAACTTGAAGAAGTCACCAGCTATGCATACTTCCGCCGTCAGGCAGCCAGCATTAATTCCCTAGACATGGAAATTAGAAGGCGACTTGGGGTAGATTTAATCGTAATAAAACGTCATTATTCCACAGTGAGCTACCCATGCCAGCGACGAATAAAACTGTTCAATTCAACCATTCTACCCGCCACGATCTATGGTGCTGAATGACGTTCCGCTACAAAAGCTGAGGGTAACAAACTTATGGCAACGAAAAGAGCGATGGAGCGAAAAACATGCAAGGTGTTCCTCTGGGATCACGTTCTGACCGCACAAATTCGACAATGGACTGGATTAACAGCCATAACTGCTGTTATGTACAACGCTAAGAGAAGAATAAGCGGTCATCTCGTTCGCATGAGAAACAACCAGTGGACGTTAAGAATTACAAACTTAGTTCTGCTGGATGACCAACGTCGAGTCGATGTGCGTTGGGCTGATCTGATGATGCCCAAATTACTCGGTCAGCGGTGGAAGCAGAAAGTGGGAAATGTAGAATGTTGGAGGAACGCCGTGGCGCTCCTATGACTATGACAAGTCGGACAATGGAAATTCATTGTGTACAGTCATGGAAGGCATTCTTTTAAATTTTAAACTACAGTGATTTTTTGTTCTCGATCAACAACTTGAGAAATAAAAAGAGCACTGGTATTGCCCTTTTATCTTTTTTCTCACCTTGCTCATCATCACACTGAATAGTCAGCTATGATGTGAGTCAAATGGAGGTGCAGTCACAAGGATCATTTGCATCGGAGAGCATGGCTGTACACCTCCTTCAGTCTGATATGACCAAACCAGAGTACCATTCTGACCCTGTTATTCGCAAGTCAGTGACTTGTGACTGGCTTTTCGGCTGGTTGCACAGAAGGAATGTAGGGCAAATTCCTTGCTCCAGGTAATTTGCAGTTAGGAAATGATTATCCTCATAACTACGCGCTTCGGTATCTAAAAAGGCTTCTTCCCCAGAAAAATTTTTACTGCATAACTGAATGTTACTTTTTTGTTTGTTTTTATTTTTGCAAAAGTCTCTCTGGGTTAAGAAAAATGATTGTAGAAAACTTTTAATAGCAAGTTTTAAACTGTAAGCAAGTTGATAAATCCGATGAAACAATATTTCAGTTTCACCGTTCTAGCCGTAGATTTGGCAGGTGTACGTGGCTTAATCGAGGACAGTGCTTCAAATATGCAAAAGTTCAGCAAAAAGAGAAGACCCTGAAATGCACGATACAGACACCAGGCTCGTCAAAGGGCGTGGTCAAAATAACTGAAAAAATGAGGAAACAACAGTTTCTAAACAGCCAGTTCCCAGAATGACTGGGCAACCCCTGTCACGTAACGAAATTACACTTCATACCAACAACTTTCCTGCCGTTCGCCTTGATTCCATCAAAGATCGCTTCCGCCGCCAACATGCCGCTTTTCATAGCGTAGTTGACACCTTTAATCGTCGCTGCATTAAGGAAGCCGGCATCACAGCCGACCAAACAGCCACCAGGGAAAACCAGCTTGGGCAAACACTAAAAAACATAAAAGCGTGACAGGAATTAGAATTTGCACATTTTTCAAGGTCTACTTGAAAACCGCCTTCATTCACCGCACGCGCACCGTAGCCAATGCGAGTTCCTCCTTCAAGGTGCTTGCGAATCCACGGGTGAGTTTTGAACCGTTGAAACTCCTCGTACGGGTTCAGATAGGTGTTTTCGTAGTCCAGCGAAATAATCATGCCTATTGAGCAAAGTGGACGTCCTGCATCTTCCATGTCGTACAGAAATGAACCGCCATACTGCTGATAATGCTATGATAAAAAAAATTAATTATGCATCAGCAATATGAATATTTACGAATAAAACAGTGGAATTAACCTCTGCACCAGTAATCTGCATTAATAAAAAATTCACTTTGCTTTAATCGCTAGCACTGAAATTATAAAGAAATATTAAAGTACAAAAGAAGGGACGAAAAGAAAATAAAAATAATTTGCTAAAAAAAGCAAATAACTCGATTCCTCATTAAGTTTCAAAACAAACGAAATATGTCAATCACTAATGCCGTGTACCAGAATAGGACAAAACTCATGGAGATGATATGTCAGAAAGCTTCAAAGACTTACCATTCAGTTAGCATACCATTCAGTTAGCATTCAGACAGCTAGCTGACCGACTGTGAGAAAGAATTGCGCAGGATACGTGGAGCAGGTGTAGAATATTCTAGCCACTTCTTTTTTATATCAGAAGTTGTTTATACATAGGTATAAAAAGAGGCATTGATTCTTTGCTGGTATGAATAACAGTTAATGGTTTTTGCTTACTGATCCATGGTTAAAAACTGCAATTAAAAAGGACGTATTAAAATCCATTTCTTTCCTTTACTGACAAACGATTTTGGTAAATAAAGCATTTTACATGGTTCATTGTAACTGTTGATTGAATCATGGTCGGGAAGCGAAGACGGTTAACTGTTTTTTCCACAGTTTCTTTGATATAAGGAATGGAAACATTCGGTATCTCTTGGGAGAAATTATTTTATTAGTTAAATAAGATAAGTTCTTCCACATATAATCCATTGAAAGAGCTTATTGCTGTGATAAGGAAACAAATGTCATGAGGTTAATATTTGTCACGAAACACACATAGCAAGGTATTGAATAAACGGGATTGGGTTTCGATTACATATGCGAGTCTTCTACTGTTACAACTAGAAAATACCGGGTACAGTAGAAACCCGGCTCCGTTTATTTGATTTTGTGCTGTATGTGACTCATGACAAGTAAAACCCTTATGGGCGTAGTTCTGTTTTAGGTCATGTCTAACTATCTTCAGTGAGAAAGAACTTAGAACATTGACGGTAATACTGGGTAGTTGTGATGAATAAAAATTCGTTCATCTGCTACATAGGGGTTTCTCTGTTCAGATGAAACTGACACATGACTATAAAACAAAAAAGAGTCAAAAATTAAGCTGGCTAGTCACTGAGCCCCAGCCCTCCCGCAAGACTATAAAACACCACAAAATAAGTTCTAAGATTCTACTGAGTGTAACATGTGCTTACCAGAGGCCAACCCAAAGTATGTTCGACATACCCCGGAATATGGTGCGATGGACTAATTTCCCAAAGCTCCTTCAAACCAATTCCATACACCATCGGGTGGCAATCTTTCTCCAAGTTGAAAGCCATTTTCAGTTGTTTACCGAGACTGCCCCGACACCCTTCCGCGAAAACTGTAACGCTGGCATGCAACTCCATACCACGTTGAAAAGTATCCTACAAACATAACACGTGAAGCAAGTAATCTGAAAATTACTACGCGATCTACAAGGTTTCTGAATCATACTACTATTCGCATATGCTCGTCATCAGATAGGCGAAAGTTCGACCAATAATTTAAATTTATGTCACAACTTTTTGACTTTGACATCATCCTGCATACTGAAAAGGACAGCGAGCTAATCGAAAGCTGCTTCTTTAGTAATAGAGACTGAATACATGTTTTCACATAAACTATCCCGTTAATATCCTGTTATCTCAAAAATGACTACCGTGCCACCAGCCATATGGCTTTGAAATCCTACCATTCAAAAATGACCTAATCTAAATTAACTGATATATGACTGATATGATCTGAATTAATAGATCGTCTTCCTCTTCTTTAACGAGGTCCATTTAAGAGTAAATTTCCTTCATATTCTTCGATCTATGGCCAAGTCTTCAGTCAATCCGTATAACTTAATATCGTTCTGTACAACATCGTACCACTGACTTTCGTTTTTGTTTTCTCCACCGCTTCCTTGCTCGGTAGAATTAGTTTTTAGGCTGCATCTCCTAAGTACTCGTCCGGTCTAATTCTCAAGTGATCGAACTAACGAAGCCTACTTTCGATAAGCTTTTCTGTAACTGGAGCAAAAGCTAATGATTCCCGTATAAGCTACTGAACATCTGATTCTTTTTACAGACATATCCATTTGAGTACTCGCATTTCTCTAGACTTCAGCTGTTGCTAAAATTAGTTTGTCTTGAGTACGAATCATACATCACTAAAAATGTCTTCTATTCAGACAACAGACGAAGGATTAAAATCATTCTGCTGGTCATGATGTAGCCCGCCAATCTTCCGTTTACGCTACAGTCAGAAAGTCCCACTCAAACAGATTT